TACACATTTGTGATTATCCCCCCCCCTTTTATAGACATAGGGTTATAGCCAGTGCCAGACCTACTCCAAGTACACCTGTTGAAATTAATGGGTGAAACTAACTTATGTGTATTAATTTCAGTGAGTCTACTCTGAGTAGGACTAGCATCGGACACAACCATAATGCAGTAATTTGGGATGCTAAATTGGAGAGAGAAGAAAAAAAGTTTGTTGATCTTTTATTCATAAGCAGCTGAATGGCAATTAAGTCTGAGTTACAGCTATCGCCATCTCTCACATCAATAGCATTAGGAGTATGCAAGGCTCAATCTGCTACTTAAACTAAATTCCAAGATTTTTTTCTTGACTCATCATGCTCGTTAGACAGCACAGTCTGACAATCTAAGAATGTCCATTTCTTTATTTTTAAAATCCTTTTTTTTGCGTAAACCAGTTACTCCTTAGTAGCTGAAAACTGGTATTCTTAGAGAAGCTAAGAGTTTATTAAGTTCAAATTGTTTTGCCTAAAGGAACTGGTGAGATTCTTAGATGGGGGGAAAAAGGAGACAGACTGCTGTAGCCAAAGAGGACGAGAAAGAAATGACCTTGCTTTAAAAGAATATGAAATGTCCACAGAGTGTTAGATGAAGCAAGGCAGCTGCTACAGCCTTTGCCAATTGAGGACAGACTTACAGCTGGAAGGGGATGAGAGAGCAAGTACTATGTGCCCCTGTGTGTCAACAAAAATCCTTTTGTGTAAGGTAACTTATCTAGTTAATTCAGAGATGTTAATTTTGGTTAAGTGCAAAGGTGTTTTCTGTGTGTGTGTGTGTGTGTGTGTGTGTGTGTGTGTGTTTTACAACAAAACAAAAACAGAGATTCTGACCTGCCATACACAGAATTTCCTGGCATTTGTGCAATGCAAGAGGTCATTGCTTTAAAAGAGACAGTGCACCATGGACTAGTTTGAATTAGCGATTGGGTAAGAATGTTGTAGCATGGTTGCAGAAAAGTTTAAACTGAAGCAACAACTGCTGTTGGGTCAAAATGAGCACATGCTATAAATCATCCTTCAATACTCTGTTCTGAGTAGAAATAAATAACCCTTAAAAATAGGCAATCCACATTATTCATTGTGCCTTCTTTGGTCTTGCCTACACAGGTAGACAAGTGTTTTTCATTACTGACTAGCAAGAACCTAGCAAAAAGGCTATATTCCATTAGTTAATATTTGCTTTGTATATGAATCTCCCATGATCTTATCATGTTGAGTGATTCGTTTGTTTTCCATCTTTTGTTAACCTCTGGGCACTTCCAGATGGAATCCCAGCCCCAATTAACAACAATTTCATACAGTACAATTACATCTTACATGCATTTAACCTGTGTGATTTCAACAATAACTCTGTCGTGTGGGAATTCCTTGCAAATGACCACAGTGCCAGGTCATGTATCCACAGCAATGACCAGAGGAGAATTACTGTTGGGAGGAGCGCAGAAAGAAGAAACTCTATGGTACATCTACAGCAGCAAAACTGGATGGCTTTGTCTGCCCCAGCTGCAATAAAACATGTCTCTCCTGTATTTGTCTCTACAGCCCCAGCAAGCACCGTAAAGCTCCAATGGCTTGACTTTACCCTCAGTGGCACACTCCTCTGTTGCCTCTCAAGACAGAAAGATGCCAACATGGCTGAAGGGAGACTGGTTGAAAATGTGAAAGTCAAATCCAAGTAACGCAAACAGCTCTTTTTGCTCCAGATCTGCTCGGAGTTACCCAATGTATAAAGAGCTTCTAAGCTCTCTACCATGAGCTGGGCAGGTGGGAGCACAAAAAGCATTTAAGCTTTCTGCCCTGCTTAGGGACAAGACACACCCAGCATGATGGTTCTCTCATGAGATCTCTCAGGGCCATCTGAGTTCCCATGAGATCTTGCATGAGCATCCCTAACTTCCAATGCTAGTGTGCTGAGATGGCCTTGCCCCTAAGCACCGCAAAGAGCTTAAAAACTTTTTTTGTCCTGGGTTCACTTAGGTTACTTGGTGTGAAAAATGATTTTAAGCTCTCCACTTTGCTTGCTGGGCTCAGTATGTGGGCTCTAGGTGTACTGCTCTCCCCCACTCATCCACAGTATGCATGCACCCTTCACCTAAAACATGCATTCTGTACGCATTTTAAAACATTAAATGTGTTAATTTTGTGCACACTTTTGGGGGCCGAAATGCCAGTGCAAAATCCAGGAAATGTGCAATCTGATGGATAGTTATGTTTCAATCTGCAAGTATGTTCAGGGACATCAAACTGGGTCAGTCTGCTCTGAAAAGCAGACCATGCCAATTTCTCTCTCATTCCTAATTACTACTGAAGTTTCAGCCAAATTCACATTGTGGACTTTCCAGTGCCACTGAATGCCACAAACCTGCAGTGAGGAATTCAAAAAATTTAGAACTTCACCCCACTATTAAAAACATCTCTTTAATTTTTAAAGTTTAAACTAATGAAGCAAGATTAATATTTAAGAAGAAGAAACATAAGTAAGACCATGTACGAAAGCTTAAAGAGACTGGCATTCTACCAGCCAAATAAATGCAAGGGGAAGAAACACTTCATAAGTTGTTACAGATGTGGTGTACATAGCAATAGGTTCACTTCACATAGTCAGAAAGTATGCAGTGTATCTTGTAAATATAAGTGGAGGTTACAGAACAAATTACCAAATGATCTACAATTAAAGTCAAACTATAATGTTAATTGCCTTTAAAGTCATTAAATAATTCTAAGGATAATTAAGAAATTAAGATGTTTAAATTAGCTCATCCTTGGCTAGAGTCAAAGAAAGTTTCCCGATACATTCAAAATTAATTGAAGCTCAAGAACTCCCAGTTTTTCTAATGTAGAAGCTGACTCATCCAGTATTCTTATTCTCCTTCTGTATTAATTTACTAGATTTCTATCCTTCCTTTTCTCCAAGGAGCTCAAGATGGCATACATGACTCACCTCTCTATTATATCCTGGCAACAACCATGTGAGATAGGCCTGCCCATGAGGCAGACTAAAGCAGCTGCCTCAGGCAGTGGAATCGTGCTGGACAGCACTGGGGTAGCATGGCAGCAAGAATTTTGTAGCATATCACCAGAAGCCACTGTCATATGACCCTGGTAAGTAAGGCTTTGTGGAAGCACTTTCCTGTTTCGTCTCAAGTGCCAAAGCAGGATGAGCTGCCCTTGTATACAGGTTAGGCTAAGAGACAGCGGCTGGCCCAAGCTCACCCAATGACACCAGGTATTAAACTTTCTAACCACTATGCTACACTGCTTCTCTCTTTCTCTTCCACCTCCTCCTAGAACTCTCTCTAACCTATATTCGCTGTTCATAGAGTTGTTTGCTGACCCACAGTTCAGCTAACATAGAGTAACTCTTGCATGCTGAAGTATTGTCAAGCTCCAAAATGGCACTGGAATTTAGGGGATCTGGCAAGGCCTCTCCTGTTGTTTTAAATCCAGTCCTGAGACAGAAGCCTTGTGCTTAAACATAAGTCCCTTTCAAAGGTACTCAAGATTTATTCCCTGTGCCCTGAATGAGTGAAAATGAGCTTTGTTGAAACCTCCTGTGAATTAAGTTGATTTACTGTAGAATCTCCCCATTGCTTTTGGGTTTGATGAAAGCATTAGCTCCTTAATGATTCCCAGACTGCTCTGGAGTTTTGGGGGGCAGGGGCGGAGTTAAGAGAGGAAAAACTGTGCTAAGTGTGAAAACATTTTCCACAAAGCTTAAAAGACCAAATTCTTCCAGGTGTTGAACATTGTTATGAAGGTCTAAAATAATTGCTGGCCTTTTCAATGTGTGTTAAAGGCACCTTTTCAGTTTTGTTTTTAAGGAACAGAAATGGATTGGGGAAAATCATTCCATACAGGTGGACCTTTCAACATCCTCAAAATTACCTACATCTGCTCTGATATTTCAGCATCCCCACAGATGTTGCATGTATCTATGTCTAAAGACAAATTCTGTCATAAAAGGACAAGGTGCAATGTGTAGGGCAGCAAGTCCCCTTGATAACACTGTATGTGCTGGGTGCATGCCCGGATAATTGGCATAATTGGCATTCACAGTGTGAAGAATCCTTACTGACCACAGTTCCTGACCCCATGTTTGAAGTTTCAGTAAAGCATCCCTTATGCAAATCACACATTCGTATGATGGAACATGTAACATTGCTGAGATACTGGACCTTTGCCATAATCCAGCAAGGTTCTTTTTTATGGCTTTATGTCTGCTTCTGTTTCAGTTTAGTTTCTAATAAAATCTAGAATGATCATCTCAAAAGTTTAAAAGAAATACACCATGGATAAGTTCCTTTCTCATTTCTCCAACCTTGCTTACCGTCTTGGAGAAAGCACTTCTCATTGGAGGGGCAGGGGAAATAACCTCCAGTTACCTACCTATAGAAGTCACTTTGTAACCTGGGCTGACTAGTGATAGGCAAATCTTACAATCTCAGTTTCTCCTTTTTCTAGTTCCCACATTTCCATATCAGTTTGCTTTTTTTTTTTTAAGTCCACATGAAAATGAATCTGCTTTTTTGGTGTGAACTGTTCTGAACATGCACATTTTTGTATGAAATTTTGCTCAATGTGCCACATTTTTGCAAAGCAGTTCCCCATAATTCCGCATTTTTATGCACGCTTTACCCCACTACAGTGGTACCTCGGGTTAAGTACTTAATTCATTCTGGAGGTCCGTTCTTAACCTGAAACTGTTCTTAACCTGAAGCATCACTTTAGCTAATGGGGCCTCCTACTGCTGCTGCACCACCGGAGCACGATTTCTGTTCTCATCCTGAAGCAAAGTTCTTAACCCAAGGTACTATTACTGGGTTATTGGAGTCTGTAACCTGAAGCGTCTGTAACCTGAAGTGTATGTAACCCGAGGTACCACTGTATAGTCAGTTTTGTACCACTTGCCTTGAGAACTATTTGGAGAAATGTTTCAGTTTGACTACTGTTTTTGTTACTGTGAATTAAGCAGGTTCGCCTTTAAATGTGAACTGAATTGAATTTCCCCCCTACCAATCTGCATCATGACTAGGGGGAGTGGAAATGAAGCACTGAATGGAAACAAAGCATTTCCCCTGAGATAATGTGGTTATACTGCTTTTTTTTCATTCTACCCCCAGCCCCAGGTACAAAATCTGTTGTAGCAGCCCAGAAGAGTGAGGTTTGGCCACTGGACTGCAGGTTAATTCATATGCAACCAGAATTCACTGCAAGCCTTTGAAGAATCAAGCACTCATATCAGCAGCTCCAGTTCCAGATGCTGGTTTTTGTGAGCCAGATTTCACTCTGAACCAACCTTGAAACTGGCTCAGTGTGATGTTGTAAGTTATGAAACTACGATCTTCACTTTGGAACATGGAAATAAGAAAACTGTGTGCTATTTCTATTTGTAGTTCTATTGTTCAATTTATGACTGAACAAGTTTAGCCCAGCGATTAATGGCCACATTTACATACCTCCTAAACTAAAGGCTTTGAATGACAAAAGTTATTTTCAACACTCTTGGTATAGTAGATATAAGCAAGTCAAAATCATCTTCCATGATCCCAAGACACATTGTTCTTTCACTTCCAGGAATGAGATTTTTGCACTTTAAAGAGATTGACCATCAGTGTTTTCTCTTCTATCCTAAATATATTCATCACAGCTCTGTATAATGAGCTGTTTAAAACAGATGGTTCAAAAACCTCTGAAGAAAATGTGATATTGAATGAGTTGTCATGAAAAGGTTCTGCATCTCTTTGTTGTTTCATCACAGTGTTTAACTCTTTCTGAACGCATCTCAAATCCAGAGGATTTTCTGTTAAGGCTGTTGGTGCTTAGAAAATCCATCTGGCAAAGGAATCTAGTTTGCTTTTAATATCTCCAAAACCCAGCATCTAAAATGTAAATGCTTGGAAGTTTCAGACTGCAGTACACATATAAGCTCAGCTTTGCAATTGGTTATCACGTCCTCCCTTCTGTTTCCATAAGCTGTTTCTCCACCCATTCAGTCGTCCCCTTGCCTGATGCTAGGTGGCACAGATAATCTTGGATGCCAGTCAATGAGCAATGATAGGGGACAGCCTCTAGCTATCCCTAGACTGTGTGTTTGTTAAGCTCAATAACTTGTATTCTCATGTAACAGCATGATATAAAAATCTGAAAATAATTTTTAGGGGGACACCTGGCAACCTGACATTTATGAGTCTATAACCAGAGGTAGAGCCTACCTTGAGACATTTCCTATTCACTTTTCTTTGATAGCCGGTAGTCATTGCATTCAATTGCATTACACACTCAATCCAATCCCCAACACAATCAAGCAGAAGTATTTGGATGTGGGCCAGTTTAATACTGCTAAAGCCAATCGATCTGAATTAATTTAAAGCTAAGAGCTTCAGCTTAACGGGGTTGTGGATCAGCCAGTTGGCCTCTTAATTGCTCTTTTTCTTTCTTACCCAGAGAGCGTGGTAATGTTAATGTATATTAGAGTAATTCTTTACACAAAACATCTGTAACATTTTCTAAAAATTATAAATGCTCTGGGATTGGGGATTCCAGCTGTTGCCTGACTGAAGGAATCCCCATGACATCAGCAGTCAGGAATTGGGTTTCATTTACCCCTTTTGCCATGGTAAAAAAGAGAGAGAAAAAGTCAACATGATCCAGATGGTCGTTCTGGGTATTAAAATGTGCCTGCTTTGTGATTGTGGTCTGGGACACAACCCTTGTCTTTATAGTGCTGAAATAATTGATTTCACCCTGCTTTCCAGAGAGGCAAAGTACCCAAGAAAGCAAAAAATCATCCATTACTATTCAGAGTGGGGATCCATCTAAATGACTTTATTGTTCTCAAGATTTCACTGTTTAATATTATGACATCATGTAGTTTCCTGAGATACCAAGATAGCTAGGACTAAAACCAGAATTCCCTGTCTTTAAGCAATAATATGCTACAGTGTCAAGTTATGTGTGATAAGTGAAATCACAACAAACTTCTAATTACCATAGTTCGCAAAATCATTCTTTTTAAAAGGTTGTTTGTATTTTATTTATTATTTTTTTAAGGAATAATGACCACCAAATGGCACAGTAAGACCAGCCAGTGGGTTAAGGGACCCTTGGGAGCATTGTTCAGGGCATTTAGTGGCTCCCACCATATTATGCCTGCAACTGGGAACTGTAGAAATGGGGCAGTGTTGTGTAAATAAAAGGCATGTGAAGTAGTTACAGCTTAATCCAGGAATGGAAAATACGCTCGCAAAAGGAAGGTAAGAGCAGAAGGGTTGTAACAGCTAACTAACAGCTGTCAGACCCTCGGGTGCTTTTCAGCCTTCAGCAGAGATCTCACTTCTTAAAGTTATGCCACCCCCAAATTCAAACTCCTTCTGCCCTCCCTCTGGAACCAATGTACATTTGGGGAAACATTTTTGCAGGTGAATTTACCTAGTCCAAATTTGCTTAGGAAAAGAAAAATATCAGGTAAGCTAAATTAATAGTTTGAAACGGCTTTTCTCATTACATATGGTGTTAAGTTAGCAATTTTTTGGGGGGGGGAGGAACATGCCACAGAATATTGAATGTGGCATGCAAATCACATGCCTGCCTTAAGATTGTATCAAGAAGACTGAAAGTTAAGGTTTCTTTTTAAGGCGTACTTGAAATTGGAAAAAGTTCCCATTTTGGAACCAGCAAAAGGGTTCTGTCTGCTACGTGGACCCCAGCAAAGTGTTCTTCTTCTCTTGGGGTTCTGTCTGCCCATTGCGGCATTCTGTGAATTCCACTTCCATCCAGGGTTAACAAGCCTATCAAGTGTCATAGGCAGAAGTGTGGACCCACTCCAAAATATAGTCCTTTCTGTTCGTATTCAAATATCTGGGGAAATGTAAAGGAGTATTCTGAACAAGGGCCCTGACATGGGAGTAAACTTGCTCCTGGGCTCTAATGACTTCACATTATTGGTGGCGAATGGTTTTTGCCCCTTCCCAGCAGTCTTGCCTATCATAGACCATGGACCTTATTCTTTGGGGGAGGACTGAAATTATTCATCAAATGGTAAAGCAGACCTTAGCACCTTTGCCAACACCAAAATAATCAAGATTCAACCTTATAAACAGAATGTTATTATGTAAACTTAAATCTCCTCTTCAGTCTTAAAGCAGGAAGTTATGTAAATATTTTGCTCTTAGCATATATGTAGGGATACAATCTGAATTAATGCAATTAATTTGCAGTGCAAGGTGGGAGCCTCAGTCTAAGTATATTTGTAGAACAGAAATATGTACTGGTAGATGTAATGCCATATTTGAGGGATAACTGTACAAATTGTCAATTCACAGGAGTTTAATAAATGCATCTGACCCAATCAGGCACCTTAGGTAGGGGGCGAGCCCAATATGTTCCTGCAATAGAAAATAGACTTCTGTGTGGCTGAAATGTAGCCTACTATACAACGATAGACGGGACATGGGTGGCACTGTGGGTTAATCTACAGAGCCTAGGACTTGCCGATCAGAAGGTTGGCGGTTCGAATCCCCGCGACGGGGTGAGCTCCCGTTGCTCGGTCCCTGCTCCTGCCAACCTAGCAGTTAGAAAGCACGCCAAAGTGCAAGTAGATAAATAGGTACCGCTCCAGCGGGAAGGTAAATGGTGTTTCCGTGCACTGCTCTGGTTCACCAGAAGCAGCTTAGTCATGCTGGCCACATGGCTCCTTCAGCCAATAAAGCGAGATGAGCGCCGCAACCCCAGAGTCGGCCACGACTGGACCTAATGGTCAGGGGTCCCTTTACCTTTACCTTATACAACGATAAGAACCACTGACCTACTTGTTTTTGCCTCTGCTACCCTTCCCCATTCACTAAGATTTTGTGCCTCTCTATCCCTCTGCAGCCTCTGGAAGATTGTCCATGAGAAAATGCAGTCCTTAGGATGAAAAACATTTGTTCTTCTGCGTTCCATTGACAATGGAGAAATGAAGAAGAGTCCTTATGTTACCAAAGACTCACTTTGATCTTACATGATTCTCCTTAACAGCAGTATCATTGCCTTGGGGATAACTTTTTTTAAAAAAACAATGCAGCACAAAACTGCTTTGCCAATATCCTCATTTGACTCAAATGAGTCCTTGTAGCATTGAATATATTGAACACAATCCCACAGGAAAATCCAGTTGGAGATTGTTGTCATCTAGGTAAGAGTGCCATAGGGGTAACATCTGTTTGCAATCATCTTCCCTGGGAATTAGGAACAGAATGTGCCAGCTGTTGGGGATCCAGCACAGCGACTAGCTTGGGGCACTACAGATCTCGATGGTGTGGTCCCTTCTCAGCACACCTGCAGCATGTAATAACGGCATCAAATATTATGGATGAAATATGGATTCCTTTGAAATTGTGGTTAAAGCTCTTATCAGCTCCAGCGGAGCCAGGGCTTCACCCCAAGAGTGTTGTGGGAGTGTCAAGCTGAGTTTCAGGATACGCTGATATAATGAGCCTTTTGTTTACAAAGCATGGGGTGAGTTGCCCTGAGCTAGGAACCAGCTTGACAGAAGCTGTGAAATTGTCTACCCACATCAGAGGAAAGGAATTGGCATTAAGCAGGAAGTGCTGCAAGGCTCAAAGCACGGGCATGAAAAATTATACGGCAAACCAAAGATATGCTGCCAACTGCATAAGCCCCTGGAAGAGCTCCCACAGAAACCTCCCTCAGGTTATCAGGAAGCTGAAAACCACAAAGCTCTCGGGAATCTAATCTGTCACCAGCCAGATTGCCAAACTGCTGATGCCCTGAAATTTATCTAGGTGAGCAACATTTCCATGGTACTGAATAACCATGAAGAGAAGAAGCAAAAGGAAAGAGGACACAATTGATGGCTGAGGAACGCAAAGGCAAATGTCTAAAAAACTGGACAAAACCCATGTTTTTCTCCATCAAAGCTATCTGTGCACTTCTTAGGAGCTTGATATTTTAGTACCACAGTGTATCCATTGCATATGGCTGCTCTGGTACACTTTTCCGTGTTAGCCTGATCACCTAACTCTGAAGGTCAACACATCTCATAAAAGCCAGTGCCTGTTCTGCATTCAGATTAGCTCTTTCAATAAATCACGGAGGTGGGCTAAAGGAGACTCGTTAAATAGTCCCAATCTTCAGCTCATATGTCAAAGCTCTCCCTCCCCAATTGCCACATCTCCTCTAGCCCATCTAAATTCCTGATATCCATCACAATACAATAACCCTGCCTATTAAGTTCCAGAACATGAAGGGTTTTTCTCCCCTCACTGGTCTAAAGTACAGTGGCTTTCTTCTAAAAGGCTTTGTGATGTCGTTGCTGGCACAAAGTAGGGGGGTTATAGGGGAGTTTGCTAGGCTGGCTCCAGATGCACAGGTGCTCTTGGAAAAGTGATTTCTGGTGTGCTCCCTTGAACATTCTTGGGCATGCCCTGGCTTAGATAGTACTACCTGTAATCTGGCTGTTACCATTTCAATGCCTCTAAATTAGGATGCCTCTAGGACCATAGTCTTCAGCCCTTTCAGACCTGGGACCCACTGTTATCCAAACCAGCATGGTTGAAATGATGCTGTTGCCACCCAACTTGGATCATGCCTTAACCCAGTAATGGCTCTCAAACTACCTGTTGAAGATCAGTGATCCAGGCCATTGTGGGGGAAGTGACAGCCGCTGGACCCAGCCACCTTCAGCAGTGGGACTTGCCTCAACATTGTGGCCTCAACAGCTGCCTGGCAACAAGTCTCTGTTTTAAACTTTGCAATAGCTATAAGCTCACTCGGTGGTCTTGGGCAAACCGCTTTCCTTTGGTGCCATTGATCTCTCCCCAATCTGCACAATGGGACAAAAGTTCTTGCCAACCTTACAGGAATTCTGGAAGCATTATGAGCAGCATGATCCTATGCATGCTTACCCCGAAGTCAGCCCCAATGAATTTAATGGCACTTTCTCTCAAGCAAATGTACAAGAGACTGTGCTGTGAGCTCATTAATGTACTGCACTTTGAAGCACTATAGAAATAGTAAATATTATCATTATTACTGGTAGCAGTTGAACCAGACTGACAAACCCCTTCCCATAATCTTTTCCTCTTTCATGTTTTCCTGCTTTACAGTGTAGTTTAATTTGCTTTCTTTAATTCCCAGATAGCAACGTCATGTGGCACCTAATTTAAAGATATCAAAAGGGATTTGAAATCTTAAACTATTAAAATGCTGCAACTGCATTAATTTTTGTTTAAACAATGACTTTCCATAGATATTGCACATACTAGGGAAGATGTTTATTCAGCAAAAGCTATCTCTGCATTAACACAGGAACAAAACCTTGGGCTGCTTATCCCCATAGAAATAAATCGCACATTCTTTGCTTTAGAGGGTTTACTCGTATTCATCTTTCAGATTTTGAGTCAGTGGCACAGTTTCATAAATAAAAGGAAAAAGTTGCTTCTGGTATTATGCAATCCAAAACCCTTTAACTCAGAAATGTGACTTATGTGCCAAAACATTTTCTTTTTTTACTTCAGGTAGCTGCTTCTTATTACAAAACCATTTTCTTGCACTCTGAGGTTTTTTAAAAAAAAACAAAACAATGTTACCAATATTTGATTGAAGGTAACCAGTTGGGCATCTGGAAGACATGAAATCTAAAAAATCCATTCCAATACCCATTTCAGACTGGTCCCAATGATATTCTCCTTCAAAAATAATAAGGCAGGGATGAGGAAACCTGTGGCTGTCCAGAGCTTGCTAAGCCATAATTCCCATCTTCCCTGATGACTGGTCATGCTGGATGGGGCTGATGGGACTGCAGCAGCTTAGGGTTATGGGTTCCCCATCCCTGTTAACACAACTATAAGCAGTTTCAGGCAGCTTCTTAACATGTAGCTGATGTATGGGCATTCTATTTACATCTCAGGACAGTAACTTGAAATATATATAATCACTAGTCTGCATATTTGACTTCCGGTTTTTCCGCCTTCCACTTCGGGTATGCCTTGCGGAGTCTCCGTGGCAAAAGCAGCTGCCGGAGGGTGATTTAGGGGGCAACATGGAGGCTACGTGACCCCCCAAAGGCTCTGGGGGTGACCCAGAACCGAACTTATCCTGCAGCATCAAAAAGGGGACCTCCGGACTCATGTCTTCAACAAGAGGTGAGACAACGGAATATACCCAGATGCAAGGAGGTGAACAACCCTCGGCAGCAAGCTTAAAGAGGCTATCAGAGAAGTTATTCATCCAAATCAGGTTTCTCCCAGGGAGACAAATTTCAGGGAATACTAGAAATATTATTGACATCTTAGAATATTTAGAAGCCAAAAGTGACAAAAAGGCAGCCTTATTACTACAGCCATACCTCATGTTACGTTTGCTTCATGTTATGTTTTTTCAGGTTGCGTCCCGCGGCCCAGAAGTACCGGAAAGGGTTCCTTCCGGGTTTTGTCAATTGTGCTTTGCGCGTGCGCACAAGCGCCAAATCGCACCGCACACCTGCGCAGATAAGGCACTTCAGGTTGCGGGCTTTTCAGGTTGTGAATGGGCCTCCGGAATGGATCCCGTTTGCAACCAGAGGTACCACTGTACTCGATGCTGAAAAGGCATTTGATAATGTCTTGTGGTTCTACATGAAAAAACCAGTTATAAATAATAGAATTAGGAACACAATTTAGGAAGGGAATAGAGGCAATATACAAACAACAGATAGCGAGACTTTTAATGAATGGCAATCTTACTGATAACATATCCATTACAAAAGGGGCTAGACAGGGATGCCCTCTGTCACCCCTGTTATTCATACTAGCTCTACAACCACTCCTACAGAATATCAGAAAGGATGAAAATATAAGGGGATAAAGATTGGGGAGAAATCCTATAAAGGTAGAGCATTTGCCAATGATTTGATTGTAACGCAAGACCCGAAACAAAGTATACCAGCTGCTATAGATTCAATTAGAAAATATGGAAAAATAATGGGGCTGAAAATAAACTATCAAAAACCAAAATTACTGATTAAATATCTAACACAGGAGGAGAAAAAAGAACTGCGAGAAAAAACAGGTCTGGAAATTAAAAATAAGGTCAAATATTTAGGGATTTGGATTTCAAATAAAAGTATAAACTTATATGAGGACAATTACACCAAAGCATGGAAAGACATAAAAATATATATGGAAATTTGGACTAAACTCCACCTCTCCCTTTGGGGAAGAGTCTCGGTAATGAAAATGAACATTCTTCCCAAAATGGTTTTCTTATTTCAAACGATAACAATTCTGGGAGGAATGAAATGTTTTAAGGAATGGGGAAACGATATAGCTAGATTTGTGTGGAATGGGAAGAAACTGAGAATCAAGCACCAGTTACTAATAGACAAAAAGGAAAGAGGAGGCTTTGCGTTGCCGGATCTGGAATTATATCACGTGGCTGCAGGATTGGTCTGGATAAAAGAATGGATCACATTAAAAGATACAGATGTACTAGACCTTGAAGCCATGATAATTGGTACGGATGGCACACCTATTTAATATATGAAAAAGTGAAGGTCCATAGGGGGTTCTTGAGCCACATGATAAGAAAATCACTATACAAGAGATGGATTAAATAAAAAGGATTACTCGAACCAAAGATACCCCTGTGAACATCACCTACAGAAGCTATGGCAGTAAAAAAAGAAATATGAAAGGAGAGTGGCCTATGTACTGATTAATTTAAGAAATAGATAAGGACAAGCCAACTCTGAAAAAATATTCTGAAATTAAAAGTCACGTATCGGTTTGGTTACAATATTTCCAGGTTAAATCAAAGATTGGCCATAGACATAAAAGAAGGAATTGCAAAAGAAACATCCAAATTTGAAAGAGATTTAATCTTTAACAAAGGAAAACATATTTCATGAATTTATGATTACCTTCTAGAATGGGAGTAAAAGAGGAACAAGTTAAAGCAGTTATGGTAAGATGGGCGCAGGACTTTGGATACAACATATATATGGAACAATGGGAAAGATTGTGGAGCATAGATATTGTATTTACAGCATGTTATAACCTGAGGGAAAACACCATGAAGATGTTATACAGATGGCACCACACCCCTTTAAAACTTGCTAAAATGTGTAAAGGAAGGTCACCAACTTGTTGGAGATGTAAAAAGGATGTTGGGTCATACTATCACATGTGGTGGACTTGTGCAGTTATTGGTGAATACTGGAATAATATCTACAACGAATTTAAGAAATTATTCAAACTTACCTTTAAAAAACCCCAGAGATTTTTCTTTTAGGTATACTACCATTAGAAAATAAAAAATATATAAGACCAATGTTCATGTATGCAATTACAGCAGCGAGAATTCTTGTGGTGAGGAATTGGAAAAGTGAAATACTACCAATGATAACAGATTGGCAGATACTTATGATAGAATATTTACAACTAGCAAAACTGATGGGAAAAGTTAGAGGAGTCTCAAATCAGAAAATATATGGAGAATGGAGAATATTTAAGGATCACTTAAGGCTATATTGTACTAATCCTACCATATTAGCAGAACTTGAATGATACTTGTAAATGAAAACAGGTAACAATTTTTTTTTCACTAGATGGAAATGATATAAAAGAATATAAAACTGTGCGAAAAAATAATGAAAGTACAAATAGTATAATGAGAATGATAGGAAGTTTTACATCCAGAATTTTTATTTAAGTGTTATTATAGAGGATATTGTTCTTTTCTGCACATAGCATTTTCTTTCTTTCTTTCTTTCTTATTTTCTTTCTTATTTTCTTCTTTTTTTGGCTTCTTCTTTCTTTACTTTTCGTCACTTCTGATGTAATGATTTTGTATATTTTTGCATATGTTTGTATTTTAAATCAATAAAGAATATTTAACACAAAAAAATCACCAGTCTGCATATTTTACCAGTTTTCAGTAATGTAAGCAAAACTTATCCTATGAACCTCAACAGAAAAGCATATACAGGCAGAGAGGTAGCAGCTTGGTCTTCAGTTGTCAATCAAGAAGACTCAGGCCAGCCTGTGGCTTTTTATAGAGTCAGACAAAAACCAATTGGCCTCTTGTGTCACCTGAGAGGGAGCAGTGATGCCTACATTTGCCTCCCTCATCCTTCCACACCCTGGTACCCTCCAGAAGTTGTTGGTCTACAGCTCCCATCATCCCTGACCATTATCCATGCTAGCTGGGACTACTACATTTGGAAGGTCATAGGTTTGCCATCCTTCCCCATCTAGCTGACAGGAGCCAAATTTGACAGGTGGATGGGGCAACCCAGCTCTCAATCACTTGATGTCACAATGATGTCAGGTAACCCTTTTTCGCTTGCATGGTTTGAAATCAAACTGAGTGGGGAAATGCACAACCCACAAGGCACCTTTAAAATCTTTCTCTAAGACTGATGGCAAAGAGTTCTAAAAAACTAGCCATGAGATGATATAGGACACCTGCAGTTCATAGTCAAAAATCCCAGAGGGCATGCAAATCTTACACAGCTCTTTAGAACCTAGCCACCTGGTGAATAAATTCAGATGCCATACTGTGCTATCATTTACATGAACCTGAGCATTGGATTTGTATACTCTCTTCACCATTCATCCTATGGTGTGGCGACAACGAGGATCCTGGCAGCATGTTTTAACACCAGCAATGCTGTAATGTTTTGTGCATAGATACTGGAGTGGTAAACTATGGTTTATTGACAAGCTAGGATCATAAACCGTAGTTTAGACCAGTGTTTTTCAACCACTGTTCCGCGGCACACTAGTGTGCCGCGAGATGTTGCCTGGTGTGCCATGGGAAAAATTGAAAAATTCGAAAGATTTTTTTAAAAAAATTCAATTTTTCGCCCACTAGGCGGGCGCCGGACTGTGTCCTGGGTATTGGGGGGTTTACCCCACCCTCGGCCAGCAGGGGCGCCGATTGGCGCACCTCAGGGGGACACCCTCCACTTTTCTGATGTCCGGGCTGTGATTGGTCCAGACTCCAGCCTGGATCTATCACAGTAGGACATCATCTTCCGACTTCCTTCCCGCCCGAGCACAGTGTGCGCAGCAGCGGAGAGAAGAAGACGTCGCGACTCGAGTCAACAGGAGGACCGGAGAAGTTGTCATTTTATTTCTCTTCAGTCTCCACTGAATGCCTTGACAGGGTTAGGGACCCTTATAGCTCAGCATCAGTTGATGGAAAGGACATGAATTTACAGGAGCAGGAGGAACTAACTGAACTGAGACAAAATCGTGGTTTCAAGCTAAGATTTGCTGATCTACCTTTGGACAGTTTTTGGTTGGATACTGCCAAGGAGTTCCCCTTCTGGCAAACAAAGCTATTTTGACATTGCTCCCATTTTCCACTACATATCTGTGTGAGATGAGCTTTTCAAGCATGATTGCTATAAAAACTAAATACAGAGAGAGACTGAGAGCTGTTGACGAAGAGCTACATGTGTGTCTTTCTTCGATTCCAGCCAGAATATCAGCTTTGTGTTCAGCCAAACAGGCCCAGGTTGCGCACTGAATAAAGTATTTTATAATTTTTCATATTTCTGTTTACTTACTATTTCATAATAAAGTAATTATAAAATACTTTCTTTGTGTTTATTTGATTCCTATTCAAGAGAATTACTTTATATATAGTCAATATAGGCACAGAGTTAATTTTTTAACATTTTCTAATGGTGGTGTGCCTCGTGATTTTTTTCATGAAACAAGTGTGCCTTTGCCCAAAAAAGGTTGAAAAACACTGGTTTAGACTAACCATAATGTGTCCTTATTAGACCTAATGATATTACATGATTGATTCTTTCAGCCACAGCTTATTTTATTTTTGAACATCCCAGAATGACAAAACATCTTGGGCATTCTGAGAAAACAAAATGGTATCTCCTATAAGATGGCTGCTGAAATCCATAGCTATGAGAAAAGGCAAGCTCCCCCCACCATTCATACTTTTACTCATGGCTTTAGTCTTGTACCATAGTAAAATTGAACTTAATGGGACTCATGTAGTTCAACTTTCCATTTGTTATTAAATTAATACCCTCAATAAATATTTTTTTATGTGGGAATGGCAGTATAGGCAATGAATGACTTAATATGGAAGAAATGGAAAATTATCATGTCAAAAAAACGTGAGTTTTAAATCGAGTTCTTTCTTTCTTTTGCAAACTGAGTCCTTGGAACCTTCACCACTATGGCTGGTGAGAGCAAAGGATATTGTCTGAACTCTTTGCAGCATCTTTCATTGCTTGCTTGTTTGGAGAGCACAATGGATTCCACAGGAGAACTATTATCCCTACAGTGAAAAGCTGACACCTCTGCTAGACTATGGAAGGAAAAAGAATGCTGTGCATTGACCATTTTTATCTATGTCGGTAGCAACATACAATTCCAGGGAACCCCATTAAAATCTGCTGACATTATTTTGTTTGTGGGACTGCAGCCAAAGGAAAAGTACAACAGGGTGTGAATATTTTAAAGCAAGAAAAGAAAGAACTATAAGAAACTGCAGACAGACAGCTGTGTTGTGGTCTCCAGCTGCCTGTTATTGGTCCTTTCCCAGAAACAAACACCTGGTGAGACCCGATAGAAAATCAGTCTAATATTTTGTGTAGCTTAGTAGCAGGAAAACTGCAAGGTGTTTCAAATTGCTACACCCCTCACAAAAAGAGTTTTTCCATTGGTGCTTACCTCCACCATATCGCTTTCTATGGTCTCCAGATTTTCCTATGAAAGAAAGCCAAATGATTTTTCATTTCATTTATTAGCTGGAAAGAATTTGACAGAAAACGAAATACCAGCATAAAATAGATTTCCAGTCAGTTTTCTGGCTGCCTTCTGTAAAAGTGGGAAGCAAAACCATACATGATCTATATGATCTATACTGTATATATTAGATAGACAAAAAACCTTATGCTACAAGTCTCAAATTGGTTGATCAGGTTTTGCATACTACGGTATATTGTTGCACCCCAATTAGCAACAAGGAATGTTCATTTATCGCAGCTTTGTAAAACCATGGAAAACTCAGATTTTGTGATGTTGCATTATCTCATGGTTGGCAGGGGGCGGGGGCTCAGGAATACTCCTACAAAGGGAAAGTCACAACTTTCAGGGTCATATTTTATGCAACCCCAATGGAAACAGTGAGCACAGACTACAAATTTCTCCAGCACAAGTCTGAAGGAAATGAAGAAGAGCTGTTCAAGAACATGAAGAAGGAAACTGTCCTCCAATGGCAAGAACTGAACAGTGCAATCATGAGAAGTATGCTGGATAGAATTCAGTAGGCCTTATCCCCAGGAAAGCAGGTCTAGGACCGCTGCCTAAATCTCCCTGGTTTCAATGGAGCCTGGGAAGTGTTAGGCCACCGTGCTTTGGATTGTGCAAAGTCACCATACAGTCTTCTCAAACACCCAGTCAAAGGTTGCTGCCAAACATTGTGCAATTCACTAGTCGACCCAAAATATTTTAACCATGTAAACAGGGGCGTATATAACAAACAATGTTCAGCAGTTCAAAACCAAGTTAAGTGAATAATGTGCACAGGAAAAATGGTTATGTCTTAGTCACAGGTGGGGAATCTCAGTTCCAGGCACAGACTGTGACCACCCAGGTGGTCTTTCTAGCTCTACCCCCAAGCCACATGCATCTCAAGCCCTGCTTTGAACAGTGGATGTTTTTGCCTGGCTGGAATGTGTCCTTGAGCTTTGATGGTGCCTCTTGCTCCTCCAATGTGCTTATACACACTAGTCTACTATGCAAATGTAACATTTGCATTCATAGGTGCGCTCACTTTAGCCTCTGGCCCTGCCTGCCGTTGTGAAGTGGCTGCCTAGAAGGGAATGTGGTTCAGGCTGCAAAAGGTTCTCCACTCTGGTCTAAGCTGATTACCTGTTAGTGCTGAAGGCGATGTAAGGAACTTGTGCCACCTTAAAGGCAACCAGCACTGTAAGAGCAGGGACACCAAGCCTGCATTCTTCCATGCAGGATGCAGGGGCTTCCAAATGTAATATGGAAATATGCTTGAGGATGTGGTTTTACAGCACTGGGAGGATCAAGAGAAGGCAGCCAGCATTTTTCAACTTTCACCTATACAAGTCAGACTTCTCTGTTACTCTATTTCCATATCTGCATGAGTCATTTTTAACCTCAAAAGCTGCTGTGAATTCATAAATAGGCCCAGGGACGTTAGAGGCAGTCTATTATCAGTGTTTTATTCTTGTCATAGCAATGCAGAAATGGCAAATATGTGGTTCTCTCTCTCTTCCATGTGAGGATCACGGCGTTTGCCTGTTTCTTTCTTGGCTCTGTCTGCTCTGTTGTGTCTTGATATCTGAGGCAAAGGCATAGTCTATATTTCCAATTACTTAGGGCTCGAAACAACTAGCCACTGTTTTGACTCATCAGGGCTGCAGCAAGACATTTTAAGTAGGCCTCAAAGCTGCTAAACATTTATGTGTGGTTTTCAAAGGAAATGGCCCAACAGCTGCATGGTGAATGATGTACACAGCAGAAACCCAAACCTCAGGAGTCTTTTAGGGGTGTGGTTGGTAAGGCATCCAAGTGCAATTTTTACGCTTACAGATGAGAGACGCATAAAGCCAAAATCTTTATCTAGGCCTCTAAAGTATGGGTTGTGCAGATGAAAAGAGACACCACCTGCAACAACTGTTCCTGGTCCCAAAAGGGAATTGACCAGACAGGGCCACGTCCTGGCTCGTTTTTCTAAAGAGGGCAGCAGAGAATTTTCTCATGGTTTGAATACAATTGCTTCAGCAGCAATCCCAGAAGGACAAACACTTTGGCTGTAGAGTAAGGAGCGCGAGAATGAAAGGAGTGAAAGGGCTGGTTTGTACCAAAGCAGCAGCAATGACCGACTGTTGTAAAATCATACCGCATGACTTTCAAGCACCATTTTTATAAGCTGTATCAAAATCCAATTGTTTAAGCAAAAAGACCTGTTGCATAACCCATCCAGGTGCTAAAAGACTTAGACGTGAGTTTGCTTAAAGCAATCTGTGTTATGCATTTTGAGGTGATGCAAACCCTATTCAGAAAATTCTCATCCACACATAGGACTAATAACAAATAGGCAAAGTGGGGTCATAGCTCCTGGTTCTGGCCCCACACCTTTTGTGCCTCTCTGGGCCCACACCCAATGTCCATGCATGGACAGTGGCCATCTGAAGGGGGTGCCTATAAGCATTTATTTGAACTCACACAGATGCTTGTTTGGCATACAGGAAGCCTGACTGTGACCATGTGGAGCTGAATGCAAGCTATGTCCCTCTATGGACATTCTCAATTCAGCGCATGGATACCAGGGAGAAGCTTTCAGGGCCTGGAATAGCAGTTGTGGTGCCAGAAGGTCATGTGGACCAATTTTAGCCCTGGGAATCATCTCACACAACATCTTCCTACCTGGTTGGATATCTCAAAGAGAAACAAGTGGGTAGCGGATGACAAAGATGTCCATACTGGTTTCTCTCAGTTTCTGATTTTTCCAGTCTTAAATTTGGTTCTCTACATGTCCAGTTTGTGACTTTGGGGGGGGGGGTTTCCTCACAAAAAATCATCAGCATTCTAGCATAAATCTCTTCCAATATATGCATTTTATATACATTTTCCTAACAGACATATTTTTGCCAATCAATTTCACTCAATATAATGCATTTTTGTATGCTTTTTCACTACTGTATGCTTTCATACGCACCCTTTACCCTAGTATATGGATTTTTTTATTGCTTGGCTGAAGAATTGCATTTCCAAATCTGGGGAAGTGTGGATTTTGAAGAATAGTTTTGTTTTGATCCTTGTATTGTTTCAGAAAGTGCAGATTTGGTAACTTCATCATTAAATGCAAACTTTATTGAATTTCTCCCCTTGCCCTGTATGGCCCTGAGGCATTTCCTATCTTCAGGTATATCCTTGAACATGCACAGGATGGGGTGGGCACACACACAAGTCCCCCCCCCCCACAACATCCCTGAGGGCACCAGCTGCTATTGGGATGTTTGTGCAATTAGCACAAAGTCTGGAGGTAGTTTTAAGTATGTTTGAGTGAGCATGGGTGGGAAGACAGTCAGTTGAATGCACTTAAGAAGACAATCACTTCCTCAGGTGTCACAATGGGCAAGTGCATCTGGATGTTAACCAGAAGGTTGGTAGTTCGAGCCCACCCAGGGATGAATGTGGGCGGGATTCCTGCATTGCAGGGAGTTGGACTAGATGACCCTTAGGATCCCTTCCAACTCTTTTATTCTATGATCTAATTACCCAGTGTACATGGTCATGTTGGAGGTGGAGTTTATGTTTGTTTTATTGCCCAAATACCTGACCACAGCCATTGCTTTAATTGGATCCTGGTTAGAACGTCTTCCATGACCTCCTGATAACCAGAAGCTATTCACTCAGAGGAAACAGTTGCCACCATAGTCTCTCCCTCAATCTACCAGATTCTCTTAGTTCCAGCTGGTTGGGAAGGTTTGGGGAAGAGGATGAGAGGGAATGTGCTCTTCTTCCCATTCTACACAAAACCACCAACAGCTTTCATACATTCTAGAATTGCACATTCCCTGTACCCCGTTTCCTCTATGGAACTTGGGCTCATTTATATAATTTGGAATCTTTAAAGTTAACAAATTCAGTGTCGTCCTAGAGCATTAGCGTTTGACATTTGTCAAATGGAGATGAAAAATATTTTAACTCTATGCCTTGGTTTCTGGTTTGCCGTGGTCATGCCTTTCTCTTGAATGACCATTTATTTTGGTTGGACTCATTGCATGCCTTTGCATTTAAGCAGTCAAGGAATTCCAAACATTTATCATTCAGAGTGGTGCCTGGCTCTCATCTCAGTTGTGTGGCACAGCTTTTAACCCTGTGGTAACTAATTGGACAAGACTAGAATTGATTTCAAATTTTAGCTCCTTAAGTGATTCTGAGAGTTGGATATTCCCCATTAACCTCCATTGAGGAATAATTATCACAGAGGCATCACTCATGCCTGGCATATAATTCCACAGAGGTGCTCCTCATTAAACACATTTTTAAAAAAATAATAAAAAATACCAATACATGCCTGCCATGTCTGTGCAACGATATACCAAACAATATTCACAAGAGTACTGTTAAGGTGTGTGTTTGGGAAAGTATCTAATCTCCCCAGAGCTATTTTTCTAGAAAAAGAGATGCTGGAATTCAACTTAAATACCTCCCTTGTTTTCTTTTAATGGCAATTGTACTCACCTGAGGTGCCACAACTGAGTTCCAGTGAGTTCCAGCTGAAAAAAGCCCTGAATCTCCCCATGTCAACATCCTTACCACCCACCCAAGGAAGTCAGAGAGAAGACAGTTACACAATAAGAAATCTTCAGGCTTAAACTGCCTGAAATATCATGAGATTTTGAATTTGCCACAGAGCCACCTGAGCTTTAGAGCAAGAGGTGGGAACAGGAACAATAAAAGGATGTTTTTTCATCTAATCAAGTCAGTTGGGGCAGACTGGAAGTGCAACACACACTCACTTGACCCCTTGGCCATAGGCCACCCCACTTGGTCTATCAGCCACCACTGCAAGGGATCCATGCCTCCGTGTAACAACTGTTTTGCAGAGGCATCAATCCCAGTTCAGATTTCAACTCACCAAATGGCTTTCATCAAGCTACTCTCTTTCAGCCTTGGTCTCCGTTGTCCCTACCACCATCACAACTGACTTAACTTACAGAGTTGTTTTAAGGATTGCAGGTAGATAACGCATGTGCAGCGTTCTGGACACTTGGGAACACTAATGACTATAACACACTAGTGAAAATGCATGTAGAGCATGTTCTTACAATTAAGCATGGCTTGTTGGATACCAGTCACCACTTTCCAGCACTTTCCATCCATCCCTTTTGCAAATCAAAAGTGCAAGCCTAAAGGAAGACTTGAAGACTGTGTATAATTCATACATGCATTAACTGCAATCTAATATTGTGTGGAAAGGACCTGCACTATTCTACCAACATACCCACAAATGCTTAGCTCAAGGTTAATTGCAATTTCATAGTACAATGGATGGTGCATTAATCAGCAATCCTTCACTGGCGCCAGCAGAATTGTTCTAATCTGCATCAACCAAATCTGTTCTTAAAGATCTCATAGCTAATACTCTTTTTGTTTTAAAGCTTGGAGAATTTAAAACCTTCAAGTGGAAGACAACTTGGAACTGCTTCAAAAAGCGAGAGAGAGAGGCGGGGGGAGAGAGAAGCAAATTACAAATGATGGCTAATTTTAATTGGCTGCATAAAGCATTTGATATCTCTGCCATCAAACACTAAAAACATTCATTTTATATGAAAGCACTCTGTGGGGGCGGTTACATCCCTGTAAAAGTGTGGATTCTAAATATCCATTTACTTGTAGTACACAGAAGGTGCAAAATGAAACTGCTGCTTATGTGAAGTGGCTAATTTGAAATCTAATCCAGCATTTCTTAAATGGTTTGATCTTGCGGCCCTTGCTTAGGAACACCTGCAGTTTATGTCATGCAACCCCCACCCCCATTCAGAACAATCTGTAAAATTGTTATAGTGTAGTCCAGTACCATGTCACATTGTGGCAGTACCTTTGATCTCTGCCCTTGGGAAAGATTTCTTCATGTGGGCAGCAGCAGCAGCAGCTGTAAATACAACAGTTAATACTATTGAGGTATTGAATTTCCCATCTATTTTGCAGGCTGAAGTCAGAAGGCTGAACTGCATTTCCCATACCGCTTGCTTTCAAGTTTCTGAAGTTTGAAGATAATCTAGTAAATGGATGGTTTTAAGATTTTTTTTCTTTTCCTCCAATGGTGCTACAAAGCAGGGAAAGCCCTCCTGGTTCTTTTTTTAGAGCTAGGGAAATAAACTGAGGCAATAAATCATTATCTTCCTATAGATTTTGACATTTTGATCCTTGTCTTGGTCGACTGAGAATTCACAGCTTTTCATCTTCAGCTTATCTGGAAGCAACCTGTGGTCTAAAGTTTTAAGACCAGTCAGTGTTCTGTGCAAGGCTTATCCAGTCTTATCCCTTCTGTCCAGGACGCTTTGGGCAAACTTGTATACAAGAAACCAGAATCAAATACGCTACATGGTTCTGAATTGGCTATTTCATTCTTAATAGCGCATCCTCACCATACTGAATCTGCCCCGTATTGGATCATTACTACCTACATGTCTCCATCCAATCTGGATTTCCATTCTCATAGCACCCATCAGCAAGTAGTCCCATATTGAAAATACAGTCACTATGCTGCAATGTTTGTGCTGGCCTACTGGGGTCCCTGTTATGTGAGCACAAAGGGTATTGCTTTAGGCTGATCTCTTTTGGGGGGCAATTAGGATCCTGGACTATGGAAGCCTGCTTCAAGTAGGTTGTTTGGAGGATTCCTGTGAGACCTTCCTGTCCATTCAGTAAACCTGAAGGAAGGTGGGACCATGTGGGCTGGCCATGTATCCCTCCCTCCCCCCCCCCCCCCGCTAATAGGCCCACTGATTATGTTACCCATTCTTTATTTATTGTAAAAGGGATCCTGCAAACATACAACTGCTTTATGTAGGGTTTCTCCATGCCACCAGGACTCTGGTTCCAATTGTGTACATAAACCATATATACAAATGGGGACCATTTCACATCCAAGTTGTCTGTGCAAACTGGTGACACAGGTGGTTAAAAATCGATGTAGGTGAGCATAGCCTTCAGGTGCCATTTTGCTTCTCCCTCAGGGCTTTTACTTGTTTGCTAATCACATGGATAGGGGCCTCCAGTACAGATCTCTATGGTTAATATAAACAGGTAAAAATCAATCACATGGCATTAAATTGACTCCAGATGATGTTCAGAACTTTGTGCTTACACCACTTTGCAAGACTTTACATTTCTTGGAGGGTGTGTGTGGGGAAAACTCCAGGTACTAGAAAAAAGGTTTATTCCAAGCCTAATCCATTTCAGGGGAGCAAAACCCTTCAGGAGCACTATCAATATATTATAAATAGGAGGTAGGATAGAGGTCACATCCACACAATACATTTGAAACACTTAGACCACTTTAAGAATAATGGAATTGTAGAGTTGGAAGGGACCAGCAGTAACGTGCATGTTACTCAATTGCATGTTAACCATGTCATAGAGAGATTCATGCTGGAAAAGCTTGCATTTCACAATAGAATTCATCACGCCACACACTGCCATAAACACACTTCTTCTGCACAGAGATCCGTCTGTTCAGAAAATAGTATCGTAACCAGCAGACCTTAGCTGCCAGTTAGTTGCTTGAAACATGATGTAGGAAATGGTCATGTTAGAAGCAACTCTAGCACAGCAACACCATAAAGGAAGAAAAAGCAATGCTGTTCTCTTTTGTTAGCAACAGAAAATAGTTTGGGTTTGAATGATGTACAACAATGGTGTGTTAATTATTATAAGTGCCTGTATTGCTTCAGTAGATGCATAGTCAAAAGAAAAGAAAGTTTGACGACAGCGATATTTTTAGAATAGTTTGTGAGCAACTGCCAACTTCTGAGGCATTGTGGCCTCTCATAACCTGCCTGAATGAATACATGCATAGTTTTGAAGTCTAGACTTTGCATTTAAAAAAAAACAACACCAGCAAATTTCAGGCACCCATTTATTATCAGCTTTCTAGTTATAGCTTTTTGTTCTACACGGGCATATTATATGGCATGGCTCCTTTGATATAAAACTGTTTGTTTACAAAGTGCTTCTGCCATCTTTGGCTAAGCAACAAAGAGTGCATTTCTGAGATGAAATCTGCCTTCATCTGAAACATGCCCCTTCAGTTCTTACTGATGCTTTCATCTAAGAACCTCTCTTTTTCCTTCTTTCAATTCTGAAATAAATACAAGCTAATCAAAATTTGCATTACTACCCTGTTTTAACCCCTGAGCGCCTATGAAGTAGAATATTTGTGAGAGTCATGCACATGCATAATTGAGCACCAAACTCAAAAAAACCCCCAACAAAACAGTTTTTGTAAAACTGGAGATAAACCTAGTATCCCATTTCTAAGACCCAGGTTAGCACCAGTGTTGGAAGTAATCCTCTCACTTACTCCTTCCATATGTTCTCAGGTTTCATCCATTACCAGAACAGTGTGGAAAACTAGGTGTCCCCCTTTAAATTTAAATTTTAAAGCTGTATTTTAAT